TGTTGTTGTTGTTGTTGTTGTTGTTGTTGTTGTTGTTGTTGTTGTTGTTGTTGTTGTTGTTGTTGTTGTTGTTGAATTCCTAAATAAACATTACTACAATTGTTATTAGCAGTACATCTTTCACCACTATTAAACGACCGATTTATCATTAATGAATCTATTGAAGCGATTGGATGACTCCCATCTTTTTCTTTACTTTTAATATTGACGATATTATTATTATCATTTGTCATAGTGGTTGTGTTAGTGGATGAAGATGGTTTTTGTATATTTACGGAAGATGAATCTGACAATAAAATCGGATCAATTAATGATTGTTGGTTACGTAGTTGGTGATGATGTAGTCGTAGATGATGCAACTGGCGATGATGTTGCAGCTGGTGATGATGATGTTGTTGATCAAAAGGAATCATTTCATGGTAAGAAGAAGACATTTGGTTATTATTATTGTTGTTGTGTATACGTATTGGAATTGTTGAATTGTCATTATTACTAATGCCATTGCTAATATTGTTACTAGTCGCATTATCATCATCATTATCACCACCATCATTAACATTATGATTATTACAACGATAATTTTGTGATGGCGGTGTAAAATCGGTTGAAAGAATAATGGAAGGTTTCGTGGTTACAGTTTCGTTAACGATATTATTAAAATTGGTTTGGTAATTTAAAATTGAATTAAATTCTTCACCAACATCATTGTTATTTTCGTTGTTAAATCTTTGAACATGTGGCATAATTGTTAATTGTGGTAAGCATGTTAAATTGTTATTATTGTTATTATTACTGATGATGTTATTGCTAATAATGTTGCTGCTAATATTGTTATTTCTAATATTGCTGTTGGGAGGGGAGGAAATATAAGGTCGTGAAGATTGGGTGCCAGAAGGATGAAAAGAAGAAGAGGAAGAAGAAGAAGAAATATTGGGTGTTTCAATTAATAATAAATCATTGGAAGATGAAGAAGAATCATAAATATGTTGAATACTGCTACTATTATTATTATTATTATTACTATTATGATTATTATTATGATTATAATCATTATTATAATAATAATAATCATTATTATTATAATTGTTATTATTTCTTTTATAATTCCTTTTTTTCCTAATCAAATTTACTTTATCATTTAATTCCTTATTATCATTATCATCTTCATCCTCACCCCCGCTAATACCAATCATAATAGTTTCATCATCGTCATCATTAGTATTATTATTGTTAGTAGTATTATTGTTGTTATTAGCATTACTAATATGTAAATTCTTTCTTGGTCTATAAACATAACCTGGGTACATTTCTAAATGTAAAATTTTAGCAATTGATTGCAATTTACTATATTTTGATTTTGTTTCTTCTGTTGCTTCGAACCACAATTTGCCAGAAGTTGTTGAAATTTGCGGAACTTTTAGATTCAAGGAACTTAAATAGAAATGAACCGAGTTTCTAAATAAAAAAAATGCATTTGGTGGACGCGGCGGATCATTTTTTTTGGTTTTACGAGATAATTTTGATTTACGTGAATTTTCTAACAGCCGTTTTATAAAGTTGGTATCAGGAAATGGAATTTGTTCTGCAGTTAACGAAGATAGAAAATTTAAAGAATTTTGTTGATCGATTGTCAGAGAAGACGAAGTCGAAGATGACGAAGGAGATGATAATGATGGTAAATTATTGTTAAGGTTAATATGAATAGTATTATGGTTATCTTGAGCTGTAATTGATGATTCATAAGGAGAAATAAATTGTTGATAACTTAAATTATTTGATAATGAATCATTATTATTATTACTATTATTGTTGTTGTTGATTGTTGACGACGACGTTGTTGTTATTGCTGATGATTTATTAATTACCTTGGGCATTTTAATTATTGATTATTATTATTGACTAACTTTTTATTATCGCTGTTTATTATTGTTGTTGTTATTATTATTATTATATTATTATTTTGTAAGAATTTTCAAAAAAAAATTTTTTTAAAAAATAAAAATAAAATGAGCGAACAATTTATATAATGAACGAAATGAATTTATGATATTAAAAAGCACGTGTTTAAATAATAATAATAATAATCAATAAATAGAAGCAACAGTAATAGTAATAATAGTAAAACAAACTAAATCACATTCGGAGACATGAACAAAAGGAACGTAATTCTTATTAACATTCATCAAAGAAATAATCAGTACCAATTATATACATTTTGAAATAAAATTTAAAAAGGAGTTTTTATTAAAATTAATTGTAAGAAGGGCTTTTTTTTACTCTTAAAAAATATTCGATAAATTTAGAAACTAAAATTTTTAGTAAAAGTGAATGATGAATTATTGCTGTTATTGTGATTGGTTGATTTCTAGCCGACTAATCTTTGAATATTTTTTTTTGGATTTGAATTATTTATTTATTATATGAGGGAAAAAAATCATCATTATTATTGATTGATTAATTAATTAAATTTTTTTAAAAAATATTCTTTGACAAATAACAAAGTATTTTGTTTTTTACTTTACAACTTTATTTAGAAAAAATTACTAAATATCCAAAACAATTGGTGATAGACAACAATGGTAAAAGAAAAAATCAATTTTATTTTTTAAAAAAGAAATTTCTTCAATCTGAAAAATATTAAAATTCTTTTATTGTTCATATTATTATGGATTTTATTCCTAAAATTTGAGGAGGAAAATTTTATTAAAAATAAATAAGTAAAGTGAGACTGTTAAAAATAAATTTTCATGTGTAATCAAATAGGATCGAATGGAATTTATATTCATTTATTTTTAAATTGTACTTTGTTTGATAATAAAAATTCACGTGTATTTTATTCTAATCGTTCTCGATTTAATTTTTCGTCACCTTCGGCACGTAGAGCACGACAATGCATATTATATTATATACTATATATTAATATTGAACATTTAAATGCTTTCTTTCGTTAGAGCGACACGTAAATTTATCGCAGTTCAGTAGTTGTTTTACGTCATGCAAAGTTATTCGTATATGATTATCATTAAATTTATCAATTAATTATATAAACGTGTTTTAAATATTAAGGATCTTCGCGACAGTCACAACAAGCATTTCAGCCACGGTAAACATTTACGCAGAAACTATATACATAGCAGGGCGCAAAATGCCAACTATGGTGCAAGTCACTTAGTCGCTGAACTTTTGTGCCATGACGCCAATTTTGAGAAAAAATATTCCAATCAAAAATGCGATAAAAAATTTTAGTCACGTGTTTTTGAAGATCGCAAACCAACTTGATTTTAATGTCAACATGATGCTAAAATAGATAAATTTTTGGTCTTGCGTAGCATGGCATGCATGATTGCGTAATACATAAAAAAGCAATACGTTCTCAGTTGTAAAATTCAGTCAGGATTATTACCAAATTTGGAACTCCTTTGCCGATCAATTTATATGTGTGGCAAACAAGTTAACGTGATACTTTGCTGCCTTTTGAAAATCTTTTTTAAAAAAAATAAAATAACAATAATAATCGAAATAAACAGAATTAAACTTGCCTTTTCATAATCTACTAAAAATCTACAAAAATCTATTAATTTGTTCAAAGTAAGCCTTTACATAAATTTAAAGAAATTTAAGTGCCAGGAGTTTAAATTTAAGGTTTTTTTTTCTCTTTTGAACTTTAGTAGATAAACACATAAAATGTCAAGATCAATTGCACCTTGCTCATTTGCTGCACTTACTGAGAAATATTCCAAGAGTCATTTGAGATAAACATGTTAAATGCAATAGAGAATGAAGCAAAAGATAATTTAAAAACTATTTGCTAAGTATTTCAAAGTATGCTTTTACAGAATTAAATGTTGCAACAAATTCTCAATAATTTATTCATTTTTATAGTTCCAATCATATTAGAATTATTTACAAGCAATAGTGGAATGAAATTAAAACAATTATAATAGTGAGTGAATGATAAGCAGATAAAGAAGTAATATAATATATATATATACACACACATATACAAAATTTGGCATAGAATTTATTTATATCCAAAAAGCTTATGAATTAATTTATAATATATTTCATGATACTACACAGTGAGTCTCGGTATAGCGGATAATTTGGGCAATTAGAACAAAAATTTCAAAAATCCATTATACTGAGATTAATTCAAGATTTAATTAGTAAATCTGTTAAACCGAGAGAATTTACTTATAGACGGTTCTGAGCTTTGATCCATTAAACTGAGAGTTTTATTAGACATCCGCTATACTGAGACTTACTGTGTATTTATTAGCTTATAATTTTAATAACAAGTTTCCCAATAAATGAGTGACAGGTTGATAACTCAAACAATTCATCAGTATATTCAAAAATTATTATGGTAATTTTATGATTATAATTTGAAGCTATTGTCACTGATTAAATTTGGGAGAGCATATTTTAATTGGTGATAACAATTATTTTTGTTTTTGTGTGGATCAGAATGAATAAGAATTGATTTTGGTATTAGTGAATAATTTTGGTTAAAGAAGATAAAAGTTATTTAAATAAAATATTACTATTTTATTTATTTAGTTTTATTTAGTCAAAACTAATTAACTTGTTATCAAGTTACTTTTACAGTAGGTCAAATTTGAGTTCTTTGTATACATGTCAATTAATTATAAGCCCATATGGGTTTGCATGCCCGTTTGGGTTTACAAGCCCATTTGGATTCATTGTCATGAATTTCTACTGTGAGATAGTAAAATAAGGACTGCGGATAACAACATCATTTCTATTTTAAATTTTAATATTATTGGTCACTGGATATGTCCCCTAATTTTTTGTACTACTATACAAATCATAATGATAAATAACATTAACAGTCAGTGTGCAAATCCTAAAAATTAAGGGGCAGGTCATTTTGCCAGAAATTTTGGCTGATCAGCATTGAAATTTTACTAATAAAAACTCAAATTGAATGTCTTCAGTCCCTTATTTTATACCCTTGCTTTGTATCAATTG